TTATATAGATCTCTTTCGTAAAAAAGTGGGTTAGCTGTTTGATTTGTAGTAACAAGTAACAAGTAAGAAGAATTCACAGTTCGTAAAATCAATATAGAGGAAACCAAGACATATGTGTTCTCCACAAACTTTTAATGCAGTAATCCTAATAATAATAATAACTTTTTCCAAGTTTTTAACATACAAAGTCGATAATTTAGGTATCTCCTAAGTGATTGGTCATCCAAGTAGGAAAATTTGACCACGCAACTTGGTCGATCTATGAGTGTATGCTTTACTAACCCTTACTATTGACCCAAATTAGACCTTCTGTATTTGGGTTAGGCTATTAGATAGTGGATTATCACGCTAAATATCTATTTTTTGACTTATTTCTCATTCATTACTTCCTTAGTTAGACAGCTAGGAATGAGGCGAGTTCTAAGATTGTGTATTGTTAAAAAGAATTCAAAATGAAGAGATTAACAATACATACTCAAGCACTACTTCAAAATTAATTAATTAATTAATAGTATTACATTATTAATTACTCATGGTTCCGATATTCCTAGTTGTAGATTTAGTTATTCATGCTTGAGGATTCACAATTCATATTAGGGTTAGGAGCATAAATGACGAACTTACAATGTAGATGAAAGCTGAAATTTTTTGAGAAAAAACCATAGAAATTTCATAAATCGAACTTTAAGAATTAAATACAAATGATACTCATCTTCTCTTAAGTTATCTACAACTCATTATCGGTGGCTCGTAGTAGGCCTTACGACTCATCAGTCTCCTTTGTCATTCAACACTTAGTCCATTTTCCTCATCTTTTCACCAACGCCTTCCACCTACTACTTGTTGATGGAACGACAACTTGTAAGTGGGCTAATCTATCACCAAGTTCCTATTGTTTCAGTACTTTGAACACTAACTGCTCCAAAACCTATTTCCAACAACATTACACCAGGGCCATCACATCTAATAACAAAATGCCTAAGACTTATGCAAGTCTCCAAGTTTAATGCATTAAAAAATATCATAAATTCAAGATACATTAGGGTGGTCTAATCTTCTGAAACCTCTTATCTATGTTTATCATATGTTGTCAAAATGACCTAAGAAACAATTTGTGTACCAATAGTCGGTGCAAAAACCACTGGTGGTTGACCCACCTAATCATGGATAATCGAACACTGATGTTGACCTAGGGTATACGCCCCCACTCTCGTCTAAGAACTCAGCGGTGTGCCTGTCGCACCACCTGGAGAATATCTCTCTAGTACATCTAACATCCTCAACAAAGTATCCTGAAATAACGGATTTGCAAACTCAAAAAGATCTTGGTTTTCAACAGCTTCAACTTGTGGCTAAGGGGAGATATATCTAGCTCGGCCTCTAGCGGGTGCTGCTCCATGGGTACGACCTCTAATCAGTGTTACTCTACAAGCATGGCTTCTAGCTCAGGTCCTAACCCTACCCTAGCTAGGTTCTTAGCAACTACCTCTCCTACCACTAGAAAAAAAACTCTAGTCCTCGACTTCGGTCAAAATAACATGCAGTAACTCAACACTAGGGAAGGTAACTACACACAATAAGAAAGAATGAAGAAATAGAAGATTTTCTAATAGTCTTCATAGCATATAGAAGAAAAGTATAAATGTCTTCGTATACATCCTCGAGACTTTATTTAGATTTGGCTTGTATACATGTGAGACTTATGAACCTAGGGCTCTGATACCATTCGTTATGATCCAAAATGAATGTGATGACACTTGTCTAAACCCACCAAAACAAGTTAGCCTAAACCCAACCGAACCACCTCAACTACAACCTGCATAAATCACCAAACCTAACAGTTTACAATGTAAAACTCATAAGGCTTAACAATCACAGTCCAACCGTATCAATCTAATAATCAATAAGTATCAAGAATTTCAATCACAAGTATCAAGTAGATCATACCCATATTAAGTAGATCAATCACAAGTATCAAGTATATCAATCACAAGTATAAAGAAGATCAATCACAAGTATAAAGTAGATCAGTCACAATAGCTAAACACTTGCTAAAATCATTTCCCATTGGCACAATATCTCTTATCGGAGCCATTTTCCATCGGCACAGTATCACTAGCCGAAACCATTTCCCATCGGCTTTGTATCACTATCCAAAACCAGTTTCCATAGTCTTAATATAATGTCACTTTCCAGAACCATTTTTTAATCATCACAATATAACTAGCCAAAATCATTTCCAATCGACATTATATAATATGAATCACCGAAACCATTTCTCATTAGCACAATATCACTAGGCGGAACCATTTTCCATCGGTATAATTACCACATGTTTCATCATTGTGCTAAAAATCAATACAAAAAGGCAAATTTCACACCATAGGAAAGAGACAATAAACTCAAGTAATTTAAGTCCACAATAATACCATCAAAGTATTTTGCCAATAAACAAATTAGGATCAACATCAAGGCAATTCACAAAATACAAACTATCAAGACGGTGTCTTATTCATTAATTCCTCTTTTTTAATATCAATCAAGTAAAGTAACTCAACACATCACCTTATTCCCGTTACTTGCCTTAATTCAACCAAAAAGTCAATCTAGGACTTGAGCTTTTTCTTTCCAAACAGTGTCCAAAACCACACAATCTAATCTAACTAGTAATCATGATACAATTTTGAAAATAACAACACCCATATCATACACTTTGTAAAATGAGTCAAATCAACTCAAAATCCCCAATTACCAAAATGATATTTGAATTCAAAATTCATTACTTGAATACATTACCCAAGTAATCTAGAACGCATTGGTGAATATAATTTCGAAAAAAGATTAGAATTTGGCTCAAAATACCATTTTATCAAGTTCTTGGGTTCTTGAAGAAACCCAAAATTATCATTCTAAAAACCTTCATTTCAATACTTAAATTCATTAATATTAATCGGTAAATGAAGACATAAGATTAAGAATCACAAACCAAATGTTTCTCTAAAAATCTTGTTCATATCATCACACCAAAGTCCCAAAACTCAAAATATGATAAAATGGGGGTCAAAAACCTTGATTTTGAAAAATATTATACCAGGTATAAAATGTTCATCGTGATCACAATGAAAAAGGCTTCACGATTGCAATGAGTTGAGTGGGTCAATTCGTTAAGTTTTACCATCTCGATCGTGGTAGACCTCCACATGATTGTGGTGACAATAATGGTAAAGCTTCGCAATTGCGAAGGTCATCGATGTGATCGCAAGGAACAATTAATAGTGCACTAGAAACAATAAATCAACAATCACACAAGGCATAAAATGTTCTTGAAAATGACCATCAAGATTCGTTCGGAATCTCGTTCACACAATCAAAATACATTGCTCAACTAAACTCAATGTTCCAAACTCAATGTAACCATCAAAACATGAATATGAGGTATCCTTGATTCAAAATTTGTAAAAGTCATAATGAATGAATATAACACCTAAAAAGGCTAAATCAAGCTTGAGACCTCTAAAAATTCAACCAAGACCTCCCCTAGAACAAAAATCATCTCAAGAATTCAACGGAACTGTCAGAAGTCCAATTCGAACATTTGTATTATGAATGTTTATCAAAGCTAACCCACACAATAAAATTTCACAAATTTCCAACTTAGGACCTCAAATTCATGAAAGAATCCGAATCGAAAACCGACAACTCTCTTAGACCAATCTCCACTTTATGGGATTAGTGAAATCTACAAATTTTCATTTAGAGACTCAAAATTTCAAAAGAAACCATAAGAAATTTTTAATAACTTTAACCTTTTGAAGTAAAGAATTTTCATTATAACTCACAAGTTCAAAATCAAGATTCGAAATCAATTTCAAAATCCAATCAGAAATGACTCGGGGTCGATAACAAGAGAGGTAGATGGTAATCTTATTAAAATTTCTAAAATTTACCTTTCGGTTCATAAAAATATAGCCCATGTGAGGGCTGATGATAAGGAACAAAATGTTGTTTCAAAGTGATTAAAAAAATTACTCTTGAGTTTTTTGAGTCTTAATTATGTTAGCGTTCCAAATAGTTTTAGAAGACCTATTTTCCTTTGAAAATTATTGTCCTTGTAAGTTTGAGAAACCATTGCTTCTAGGATTAGAAATTACTTCAAATTTATATTAAAAGATTATAAGAAGGATTATTTATGCTATTTAATTCTCCTCAACCACAATGAAAAACTACGACTGCTTTTGTTTTGGGGACTAGACTTGACCAAATTTTATTGAATTAATGTATTTATTCTTTTCTCTATATACTTAATGTATAATGTTTATTATTAGCTCACGATCATCCACAACATGAATAACTTTCCATAAAAACTTTCTTTTTAGATAAAAAATCTATTATAACGTATAAGAGAGGGGAGTTGCAATCAAGATGTAGTTTACTCACATATGGCTATCCTACCAACATTCTATCTTTTTTTTTGTTTCAAAGAGAATTTCTCTTTTCTTTTTCCTGAAAACTCTTTTGTTTTAAATACTCCTTTTTTTTATAATACTTTAATTCTGATTTTTTCATGAATATATAAATGTAACATCCCAACTTTTCAAAACGTCTAAATTAACTCCTACCTTCTTGGAAAGACAAAGAGGGTGAGTAACAAATTAAGAATGAGTGGTATGTGATATTTTTAAGTGTATAAGGGTTGTATCTCAAGTTTAGAAGTAAGGTAAGTCGCAAAGTAAAAGTTGTCGAAAGTTATCATAAGTTTCGTTTTAAGGATTTCTCTAATTTTTGGGTCAAACATTTTTTAAGTTTTCTCCCAATGCATAATGAGTTATGGGGCCAACGTCCCATTAAACCGAAGGTCTACGAGTCTAGTTTCTAACACATCAAATAGTTCGTTCATACGACTTCAAAGTAGAGAGATATTTTCATTTTTCAAGACTGTGCAAGCAGGCACGTGAGGTGGGTCCCCTAAGTCAATGGAAGTTTATAAGATAGCACTTCTTCATTTCATCTCATTCCAAATTGTAATAAACCCATGAAAATAAAAAATTACTCCTCAAATCATTCTTGTATGTTAATGATCTCTTCTTGGCTCCTTATCGAAAATTGTCCTACGTTGCGAGCTCGTCATTTTGGTATTATTTTCACAGTGAATGATCGATATAACTTTGTGGAGGTTGTGGAAGCAGGGTTATTTTGAGTGGAGTGATTTTATTCAAGTTTTCTAGTTTTTTAAGAAAGGTATGAATTACCTTTTATCAGTTTACGAATACCTTGGGTCTTGGATTGCAATTTACGATATGAATCTATATCGATTATCAAATCTTCTTAGTAATTTTTTATCCTTAATTACTTATTGATTTTACCTTTTTCTTTAATGTTGTAGTGGTGCGGACAGAGGTATTTCTAGAATAACTTATAAAGCAAAAGGTATGTTAAGGTTATTCCCTTCGTTTGGCATACTTCGTTAGAGCTTGGGAGTTATATAATAGGGTAGTTAATGTTTGTGATCTTGTGGATGTAGTTGTGAGTGATTGGTTGATTGAGAGGCCATGAACCCTTATTTTAGGGACACATAATCTGTTACTAACGACCCTAAATTAGGAACGACTTAGAGACTATTTATATAGAATTCTTATAGCTAAATTGCTCGCCTTCACCCTATTCAATTGTTATTGTCGCCCTTGGGGCTATTGTCGTTAGCTGTTGAGATATGAACTGCCGATGGGGGTTATGATGTTTTCTAATAGGACTATGTTATTACCAAGGAGGGCTATGTGTTGCCCATGGGGCTATATTAATGCCAAATAATGTTATGTGTTGCTTACAAGGCTATTTTAATGCAAAGAGGGGTATGTATTTGTAACAGCCCGTGTAGTCGGTTTGGGCACTAGAAATTTTTATGTTAGAAAATACTTTCTGATAGATTTAAGTGGGCGTTTTGGACTATTCATAATTATAATTATGAAATTAGTGGGGTAGTTTTACTAATTTATTTAGTTAATGGTTAAGAAATAATATTATAATTAATAGTGGGTCACTTTTATCACTATTATAATTTTAAAGTATACAACTAGGGTGATAACTAATCTGTAAAAAAGAAGAAATATAGACGCGTAAAAACCAAGTAAGAAGAAGGTTGTGCGGCTACAACAAAGATCAACTTGGAGTTCTTTTAGAGGTAATCTTCTTTGTTAATAATTAACATATATCATCGTGGATTAATTATCGTTAGTGTGTCTTTGTGATGAATAGTGGAAAAAGATTAAAGAGAAATCGAATAGTGCAAAGTTGAGGAACGTGCTGATCGAAAGTTGACAATTTGTTGTGGGTTTGTTCGAGTAAAGGCAGTAACATAATTGGGGAATAATTATGGCATCTTGACTGTCAAGAATTTATGTTAGTGATTATAATGTGGATAGGAAATTGTGATTTGAGATGAAAGAATTTTACTGTAATTAGATAACATTAGTTAGTTTGATTTGGTTAATGTTAAGGTATAAAAAATTGTATGGAAACGTGTTAGTAGTTCATGTGAGTTAGGCATGGTGTAGATGCTACCAGTTGCCAGGTAAAAGTGATTATAATGTTGGGTTTTGCATGTTAGACCTTGGATTGCATATACTGAAGTGAAGTATTTTTAAAATTTTCACAATAGACATTATAATCATAATTTATTTATGTTCATAACCTTAGATATTAATTAGAGGAGCTTATTAAACAAGTATATTAGGTGAAATATTCTAAATATGTCTCTTGGATTTCTGTGTTCCTGTTAGTTCTTTGGTTAGTCAATTGGGGTCTCATGTATTAGCTTGGTATTGTGACTAGTGGTTTTAGGTTTACCATTTTTTTAAACTAAAACTCAATATAGTGAGATAGATAATTAAATATAAAGTATAGTATATTATATAAGTTACATTAAAGTAATGTTAATGGAAGGAATTAAGATCTATCCTTAGGTTTGAATTTTGGGAAATTGATTATATAATTAGGTGAGTTTTTGGGTCTAGGCTAAACATAGATTAATCTGAGTGTTTATAGACTCGTTAACTTACAAATTGTGCATATATATACCTGATAGATTGGAAAGGTTCGGAGGCAATAAGGAAAGGAAAGTCATTGGAGAAGTAGTTATCTGACTTCAATTCTTCGGTGGAGATAGGTTATGGTTTATGCTATTTGATAGTAAACTCTTAATAGTGATTGATATGCCTTGAATGATATTGTGAAGTTCTCTATGTACTTGACTGTGTGATTGTGTGATTTGGTTGTGTGGTTTGTGATTGGTCTGAAATCCTGAGACCGTAGAATTTATATTCTCTAATCCTATCTATCAAAGTGATGCCTTGAATAACGAAGGCTTGATTAAAATAATATAACAATGAATTGAAAGCGGTGATAATAAAGGATAAATTAATAGTATAATTGGATCGGAGTGTCACGTTCCAACACGGTATTCTTGGATCGGAGTGTCACGTTCCGACACGGTATTTTTGAATCGGAGTGTCACGTTCCGACACGGTATTCTTGGATCGGAGTGTCATGTTCCGACACGGTATTCTTGGATCGGAGTGTCACGTTTCGACACGGTATTTTTGGATCGGAGTGTCACGTTCCGACACGATAATATTGAAGGAAAAATATGTTGAATTAATGGAGGATATTCAATCTCAAAGAACTCAATTCCCAAAATGGTTTGGTTTGGAGGCATGAGTCCTCATGTGTGATCTTGATACCGTTGACTTAATACGTGCTTACTTTATTGTTATTGACATGTTCATGTTGTTTGTTGCTTATCACATGTTAAGTGCTATAGTTGAGTTCATACTATTATTTTTTGTATATTAGTTACTATTTTGGGTTGACCGATGATACTTACTCAGTACATGTTTCCTCGTACTGAGTCCTACTTGTGTTCTCCTTTGTTTTCCTTTTATGAAATGCAGCGAGTGTACCTATGACTTCTGATTTACCTCAGCTCTAGTCAGCCTCCCGCATATCAAGTTACAGGGTGAGCTATCCATTCAAGCTCGTGTTGGATTCTCTCGGTCACGACATGATGTCCTATACTTTCGGACACATACCATTTTATTCTTTATTTTAGTGTATTCGATATTCTTAGACTTAGTATTGGAAATTAGATGTCCTTGATGTGATGACTATCAGATTTTGGGACGATAAGTATTAAACTTTAGAAACTTATTTAAATTGGTTGCTTAGTATCTTTTGGAGCTTCCACATTATTTATATTATTTATAGTTGAACTATTGGTATATGTTGGGGTTTAGATGTGTTGGTTCGCCCACCTAAGGAGGTAAGTGTGGGTGACATTCACGACCCGTTTTGGGTCGTGACAAACTTGGTATCAGAGTGTTAGGTTCGATTATCTCATCACACAAGTACAAGTCTAGTAGAGTCTTGCGGAACGGTAAGGGGACGCCTTTACTTTTCTTCGAGAAGCTATAGGACTTTAGGAAAGCTCATTTCTTTTTTTCTTTCGTGCTACTACTTGAATCCAATTGGTATCTAGGTGATACAAATTGGTATATGAACTTCTTCACTCTATTTCAAATATGGGTACTACTAGAGTATTTGAAGTTGAAATAGCAACAACAGAAAGAAAAAAAATATGTCCTTAGAAATAGATATATTTTCTCGATCGCAAAATGTGGTGGTAGTCTCATGTCGAGTGTCGGTTAATAAAGACACTACTATGACTTCATAGGGTGAGGGCATATTCGAGAAAGTCATCGATGCTTACTTGGTTAGAGTTAGGAAGTGTGTTATTTTGGTATTGAATTGATCTAAGAAGTAAAACAAATTGTTTGGTCTAGAGAGAGAACATATTCGATAATGTTTTGCAATTATTCAATGGGTATAAATATGTGTGCTATTTGGGTACGATATTATGGACAGGTATGATGTGTTCTAGTAAGGTATCTAATGGACTTTCACGGTGTGGCAGTACTAGGGTTATGTGGAAACAGGTACGTCGATTGTCAAGTATGAATACTAATTACTAAAGGAGTTACAAGTTGTATGACATGGTCAGATAATAAGATTTAGTGTTGCATTCACATTTGAGAAACCAACTAGTTTATTACTACACGAACTTAGATTGAACATTATTTTGAAGGAAAATTTTAGTGGTTGAGCATTATTTTAAAGAAAATCTTTAGTGGTGGATCTTTGGTACAAATATTAACACAACTTAAACTGTGCAATGTATCTTGAGGGTTTTGAGTGAGGACTGGTGGTTTTATCTTAAGCTTCAAAAGGTAAATTGATACTAGCATGACAGACTTATAGGGAAAGAAAATCCTAGTGGGTATACTTTGGGTGAAGTAAATGAAGATTTTAGTAAGAAAGTGAATATAAAATTTGTTAGTCCCTTCATTTTGATTACTATATCTGAGTTTAAGGTGTCATGTCGAGGAAAAAAATAAAAAAAATTAACTTTGTGGTGATGAAAAGGGATTAGAAATACATGATGGTGATAGGAGTAAGTGATGGATGGTGACGGAGATGCAAATTATAGAATACAAATTATTGGTCAAATAAATTTTGTATGGTGATAAAAACTTGCGAGTATCTAAGGTTGATATTTCTACTATTTAGTGAGTAATGTGGTTGTATGATAAATTTTAGGATATTTAGGGCACACTCAAATATAATTTAAAGGAGCTGGAGTCATAACTAAAATAAGATAAAACTTGTGGGATGTGTAGCCTTGAGAAAAATAAGTGAGAGCAGAATTATTTTCTCTGATTGTAAGAACTAAAAATGTATCTTCGAAGGGATCGAGAATTGGGTTCAAAATTGCGTGATTTCATCTATTTTGTTTTGGTTAAGGTAATAGCATAACAGGTTAATCAGCTTGGTTAAAAGCTATTGAATAGAACTTAAGAGAGGAGTGTACAGATGTTCAACTTGAGTGAGATGATAGGTTCTGTTGTACTGTTGAATTTAGAAATGAGTAGGGTTGGATTTTTAGTGAAGCATATGGTATGGTTGGTGGAGAGGCAATCAATGATAAGCTAAGATAAGGTGATTCGTAAAAATCTTCAAAGTATAACCAAATGTAGATAATTAAGGGCATTGTGTTACACAATTAGACTTATAATTCAAATTATTTTTTTTGTTACAAGTCTGAATTTCTGGTGGTATATTTTGTCAAGGTATGAATTAGTAAGATGAGAAACGATTGATTGCATCGTTATAGAGCACGTGAAAGAATTTATGTATGCTTTCGACCATAAAGTTGTTACTTTTGATTGTTAAAGGATCTAAGGAAGGGTTTACCCTCAGAGTTTGGATTTAGAGTGTGAAGTAAAATGTCATGGATTATTAATAAAACATGAGATCGGTAAGCAAGCTAGATAAACAAGAGTTTGATATATTAAAGGAGCGACATATTTAGAATTTGCACCATGAACAGAATTTGAGAAGAGTGAAGGAATAAGACCTCTCGTATAAACCCATGGGTTGTAGTTAATGGTTGTATTGATTTTTGCCTATGAGTTTAGATATGAATGTGAGATGTGAAGTAGTTCGATATAGACTTACTAGAATTTATCATCGACTTTTATAAAAATTGAGTGTTGATTTGGATTACAAACAATGAGGCATGAAGAATTTAGTATTTTACATGAGGTTAGATTGCTCAAATTAGGATAGAAGACTTAAGAATGATGTAAAAGGTGAGATATAATTCTACATGGTTATTAAGAATAAAGTTGGGTTAATACTACTCTATTGATAGGACTTCATAGAATGTTAAGGTGTGTTACATGGACATTTGATAGTTAATAGAGGTTATGAGCTATTAGTATACAGAATAGTTTGAGTGACAAAGAATTTTCCTAAGTGTTGGCATGATATATATAATGGTTTAAAATGGTACCTTAAGCATGGTATGTGAAAGTGGTGTAAAGTTGACTTTGGGTGTGATTTAATAGTTTTGTCTCAATGAAAAGGTACTATCACATTTGGAATTAGTGTTATAGGCCTTATTTGGGACTTGTATCTGTCAGGAAATGCTTAAATAGAAAGAGATAGCCATAGTTTGAACATGTATTTGATAAGCATACTTTGATACTAATGATGGTTTGAGAGTAAGCTAGATGATCGATGTAGTTATACGCTTTGTTATTATTAAGAGTTTTGACTTCAATGAATGTGGAGTTTGATAAACCAAGAATGTGTGCAATTATATTAGAGACATTCTATGATGGGAGGTGTAGATCTCTAGTTTTTGATACTAATGAGATGAGACAATGGGTATTAATATTTTGGAATAATCATTGAGATAACTATCCTTTCTTGCATTACCTTCCTTTGATCGTTCGAGGACAAATGATGGATAAATTGGTATCTATTGTAACAACCCGTGTAGTCGGTTTGGGCACTAAAAATTTTTATGTTAGAAAATACTTTCTGATAGATTTGAGTGCGTGTTTTGGACTATTCATAATTATAATTATGAAATTAGTGGGGTAGTTTTACTAATTTATTTAGTTAATGGTTAAGAAATAATATTATAATTAATAGTGGGTCACTTTTATCACTATTATAATTTTAAAGTATACAATTAGGGTGATAACTAATCTGTAGAAAAGAACAAATATAGACGCGTAAAAACCAAGTGAGAAGAAGGTTGTGCGGCTACACCAAAGATCAACTTGGAGTTCTTTTAGAGGTAATCTTCTTTGTTAATAGTTAACATATATAATCATGGATTAATTATCGTTAGTGGGTCTTTATGATGAATAGTGGAAAAAGATTAAAGAGAAATCGAATAGTGCAAAGTTGAGGAACGTGCTGATCAAAAGTTGACAATTTGTTGTGGGTTTGTTCGAGTAAAGGCAGTAACATAATTAGGGAATAATTATGGCATCTTGATTGTCAAGAATTTATGTTAGTGATTATAATGTGGATAGGAAATTATGATTTGAGATGAAAGAATTTTACTATAATTAGATAACATTAGTTAGTTTGATTTGGTTAATGTTAAGGTATAAAAAATTGTATGGAAACGTGTTAGTTGTTCATGTGAGTTAGGCATGGTGTAGATGCTGGCAGTTGCCAGGTAAAAGTGATTATAGTGTTGGGTTTTGCATGTTAGACCTTGGATTGCATATATTGAAGTGAAGTATTTTTAAATTTTCACAATAGACATTATAATCATAATTTCTTGATGTTCATAACCTTAGATATTAATTAGAGGAGCTTATTAAACAATTATATTAGGTGAAACATTCTGAAAATGTCTCTTGGTTCCTGTTAGTTCTCTGGTTAGTCAATTGGGGTCTCATGTGTTAGCTTGGTATTGTGACAAGTGGTTTTAATGTTTACCATTTTTTTAAACTAAAACTCAATATATTGAGATAGGTAATTAAATATAAGGTATAGTATATTATATAAGTTACATTAAAGTAATGTTAATGGAAGGAATTAAGATCTATCCTTAGGTTTGAATTTTGGGAAATTGATTATATAATTAGGTGAGTTTTTGGGTCTAGGCTAAACATAGACTAATCTGAGTGTTTATAGACTCGTTAACTTACAAATTGTACATATATATACTTGATAGATTGGAAAGGTTTGGAGGCAATAAGGAAAGGAAAGGCATTGGAGAAGTAGTTACTTGACTTCAATTCTTCGGTGGAGATAGGTTATGGTTTATGCTATTTGATAGTAAACTCTTAATAGTGATTGATATGCCTTGAATGATATTGTGAAGTTCTCTATGTACTTGACTGTGTGATTGTGTGATTTGGTTGTGTGGTTTGTGATTGGTCTTAAATCCTGAGACCGTAGAATTTATATTATCTAATCCTATCTATCAAAGTGATGCCTTGAATAAAGAAGACTTGATTAAAATAATATAACAATGAATTGAAAGCGGTGATAATAAATGATAAATTAATAGCATAATTGGATCGGAGTGTCACGTTCCGACACGGTATTCTTGGATCGGAGTGTCACGTTCCGACACAGTATTTTTGGATCGGAGTGTCACGTTCCGACACGATATTCTTGGATCGGAGTGTCACGTTCCGACACGGTATTCTTGGATCGGAGTGTCACGTTTTGACACGGTATTTTTGGATTGGAGTGTCACGTTCCGACACAATAATATTGAAAGAAAAATATGTTGAATTAATGGAGGATATTCAATCTCAAAGAACTCAACTCCCAAAATGGTTTGGTTTGGAGGCATGAGTCCTCATGTGTGATCTTGATACCGTTGACTTAATACGTGCTTACTTTATTGTTAATGACACGTTCATGTTGTTTGTTGCTTATCACATGTTAAGTGTTATAGTTGAGTTCATACTATTATTCTTTGTATATTAGTTACTATTTTGGGTTGACCGATGATACTTACTCAGTACATGTTGCCTCGTACTGAGTCCTACTTGTTTTCTTCTTTGTTTTCCTGTTATGAAATGCAACGAGTGTACTTATGACTTCTGATTTCCCTCAGCTCTAGCCAGCCTCCCGCATATCAAGTTACAGGGTGAGCTATCCATTCAAGCTCGTGTTGGATTCTCTCGGTCACGACATAATGTCCTATACTTTCGGACACATACCATTTTATTCTTTATTTTAGTGTATTCGATATTCTTAGACTTAGTATTGGAGATTAGATGTCCTTGATGTGATAACTATCAGATTTTGGGATGATAAGTATTAAACTTTAGAAACTTATTTAAATTGGTTGCTTAGTATCTTTTGGAGCTTCCACATTATTTATATTATTTATAGTTGAACTATTGGTATATGTTGGGGTTTAGATGTGTTGGTTCGCCCACCTAAGGAGGTAAGTGTGGGTGCCATTTACGACCCGTTTTGGGTCGTGACAATATTGCCTACAAGACTTTGTTGATTTAATAAAGGGCTATGTTCAGCCCATAAAGTTGTGATGCTACCTAAGAGGGCTATGTGCTTCCCACAAGACTAAATCATTGTCTGAAAGGTCTACGTGACTTCTTACAAAGACAAGGGGCTACTTAAGGGTATGTAGATTGATTGGCACTTTCTGGGCTTATGGAGGCCTAGGTAGTGGCATGTTGTTTGTACCAACCGAGCTTATGGGGGCTTGGTTAGGTTGTTGTTTGATTTTTTTTCTAGTTTTAGATTTAGTAGTGGGTTACCGTTCTTATCTAAATTTTGATTTCATTACCTGATTGCTTCGAGTATATTATGATTATTGCTCATTTAGTCTATAGCCTTTCATACTCTGTACAATATTTTGTACTGACGGAGCATTGCATTCATGCATACAGGTCTCGAAAGACAACCCAATAGACCTCCTCAGCAGCAGGATTGACTTCGAGCTGATTGGTTAGCCCCCTTCCTGCGAGTAGCCAAAGTTTGGAGGTTTGTAAGATTTTGTTATATATATTTTTATGGGTAGGCCGAAGCCCTATCTCACTTATTTTTACTACTCTTCGAGACTTTCAGACTAGTGTGGGGGGTGTATAACTATGTTATGGCCATGTTGGCCTAGTTTGTTGGTTTGTTGAAGCCTTTAGCTGTTTGATGGCCATATTGTCTTGATACATACCTGCTTTTAGTTGTGGTATAGAGATCATGGTGGCTTCGACGGTCCAATCAGGATTTCTGTGCTAGTTGGCTATTTCTTTATATGAACTCTTGGGAGTAGTTGTTTTGTTTATAGATGTTTCTACAAGGGTCTTACGGGCCAAAATCTTAGTTTTTAAGCAGAGATATGCTTGTTTATTTTCTTGATTGTGTGTGTTTGCTATGTGCTAGTTGCAAACGTTTCAACAGGGTAGGGTCGGCCCTGAGTATTGGTATGAGGAGCCAGTTATGACCACTGAGTTTGGAGCATGACAAACTTAGTATCAGAGCAAGGTCATATCCTAGGGTGTCTGCGAGCTGCATCTATTTGAGTCTTGTTTATAAATGTGTTGTGCACCATATTTGTGATTGGGCATGCTAGAATTACTATCCTTGTTTTGCTCACCTCGTGCGATAGATCGGTGTCTTAAGGGTTAGGTTTATCGCATATAATTAATATATATATGCAAGTAGATATGGCTGACACAAGAGAGACCACAGTTTTCTAAGGGTTAGATACATCTGCAGCCGAGGGTACTGGAAAGGTACCACAAGTGGAGGTAGCCCATTGTGAGACCCACTGGTAGACATCTTCTCAGCCCCAGATAACTTCACAACCGCTTCAGGATCCTCGGCACAGTTAGTAGTTTCACAACGCTAGCCACTTGCGCCAGATATTGCCGGGCCTTCTGAAGGGACCGAAATTTTGAGAGTTCGTAACTTGCAGAGAGGACCCTCAACACTTTGTTGATCAGTTTCATAGGATCTACAGAGTTAGCATGCCTCGATGACTTAGACAATTGAGTTTGCAATATTTCAATTGCGTGATGTTGTAGTATTGTAGTATGAAAGTTTGGAGAGATCTAGGGGAAAAGATTCATCTTGACCTACTTGAATATCTTTACAAAAGCTTTTATAGATCAGTATTAGCCTCGAGAGATTAGGGATGGTCGGGTGGACCAGTTTTTGAACCTTGGACAGGGCTGCATGAGTGTTCGAGATTACATGTTGAGAATTGATATATAGGCTAAATATGCACCAGCATTTGTTGATACAATGCATGATAGGGTGCAAAGATTTGTGGGAGGGCTTGACTCAAACTATATCTACGCTTGTTATACCGTTGCACTAAATGATAATATAGATATCTGGCAAATTCTGTCCTTTGCGCAAGGCATAGAGGATCTTCGACATCTACAATATATGGCTGAGAGGGTTGAGAAAAAGATAAAAGCAGGATAGGCCCGTTATTTCACATGGAGATATTTATGGTAGTGCCAGACCTTGATATTCTAGTAGGCCACCTAGATCTCCACTACAATAGTTCAACGGTAGTAGATTTGATCGTCAGGGACAATCATGCCCAAGTGAGGGTTCACAGGCATTAGTCTTTTAGTAGTAGAGGGGATCAGGACAGGTTAGGATAGCAGCACCTCGTTGCACTACTTGCGGTAGGATACATTTCGATAGGTACAGGCAGGGTTCCACAGGTTGTTATTCTTGTGGACAGGAGAGTCATGGGTGGAAGGACTACCCAATCATAGGTCAGGGTGGTATAGGTCAATTGATCGGGTCAGTAGTAGGTTCCTCCTCATCAGCACATTCTACAGGGCGTGGACCCCAAACTTCAGTAGGTAGAGGCAGAGGCGGAGATAGATAGGGATCATCTATTCTGGTCGCATCCAGAACCTTATATATTCACTAGCCGAATGATAGATTTCAGATTCACTACTAGATGTTATGACAGGTGCATTAATTGTTTGCTCTCATTGTGTTTATACTTTGATAAATCTTGGATCCATTCTACCTTTTGTTACTCCATTTATTGCGGGAAGGTTATGTATAGTAGTAGAGTCATTAAATCAACCATTTATTGTATCTACACTAGTTGATGAGTCTATTATTACCATGAGAGTCTATCGAGGTTGCACAGTAGAAATTATTGATCGCCTGACCTCTGTAGACCTAGCAGAGTTAGAGATGGTTGATTTTGACGTCATTATGGGTATGGACTGGTTAGAAACTTGTCATGCTAATGTTGAGTATCGGACAAAGATTGTTCGATTTCACTTTCCAGGAAAGGAAGTTAGGGAATGGAAAGGCAATATAACAATGCCGAAAGGTTGGTTTATTTTCTATCTTAAGACGACGAGGATGATACTAAGGGTTGTATATATCATCTAGTTAGCATTCATGATATAGATGTAGAACCACTGATTCTTCAGTCTATTTTGGTAGTTAATGATTTTCTACATGTATTCTAGATGAGCTTCCTTGTATCCTTCCAGAACGGGAAATTGATTTTGCCATTGATATTCTACCAGGAACATAATACATATCTATCCCTCCCTATAAAATGTCTTTCGCTGAGCTGAAGGAGTTGAAGAAGTAGCTCAAAGATTTTCTTGATAATGGCTTTATCAGGCCTAGTGTTTCACCATGGGGTGCACTAATGTTATTTGTTATTAAAAAAATGGTTTATTGAGGACGTGTATCGATTATCGACAGCTGAACAAGGCTACTATAAATAATAAATATCCTCTTACTTGTTTGATCAACTACAAAGTGCTAAGTAATTATCAAAGATTGATTTTAGATCAGGGTACCATTAGGTAAAATTTCGGGAGAAATATATTTCGAAGACAACTTTTATAACTAGATATGGACATTTTGAGTTTTTGGTAATGTCTTTTGGAATGACTAATTCCTTAGAAGTGTTTATGGACCTAATGAATAACATATTCAAGTGGTATCTAGATATGTTTGTGATTGTATTTATTGATGATTTTTTGGTCTATTCACAGTCAAAAGCGGAGCATGCAGATCATTCGCGAAAAGTTTTTCAGGTTCTTCAAGAGAAAGAACTTTATGGAAAGTTCTCTAAGTGTGAATGATGGTTGAGCTCTGTGGCTTTCCTAGGCCATATCATATTAGATGCAGGCATTGAAGTTGATACACAAAATATTGAGGCTATAAAAACTTGGCCTAAACCTATGAATCCGACCGAGGTGCATGGTTTCTTAGGCTTAGTTGAGTACTACAGATGGTTTGTAAAGGTTTTTTTTTTACTTTCAGCACCATTAACAAATATGACTTAAAAAAAGAATCTAAGTTACACTAGACTGAGGCTTGCGAGCATAGTTTCTAGGAGTTGAAGGATAGGTTGACATCAACATTAGTTCTAGCATTGCCAGATGGTTCAGAGGGATTTGTGATGTATTGTGATGCTTCTAGTAATGGGTTGGGATATGTTCTTATGCAACATGGGATGGTCATCACATATTTTTCAAAGCAATTGAGGAAACGTGAGAACAACTATCTGACACACGATTTAGAGTTGGTTGCAGTTGTATATGCATTGAAGATCTAGAAACTATTTGTATGGCATTCATGTTATTGGGACATGTAGCTTGTCTCCTACTTTGACTACAATTCCTAATCGGCCTAGTAATCCTAAGGACAAGGAATAACTTATTAAGTGTAGTTAGGTCTCCTAGCTAGATACATTTTGTAGAACTATATATATATATATATATATATATATATATATGTATGTATGTATGTATATATATATGGTGGTAGATATATACACATGGCAAGAAACATGGAGATAAAAGAGGCAACAACTAATTAACGTTGTTGCATATTTCATCGTTCCTTCATGTTCAATTATGGTATCATAATCTAACACAGACTTATTGTTCACCCCTCAGACGAATATGTCTCCAGAGAGAAATTCGTTTCCCTCCCCTCTCAACAGCGCCCATCACTATATCTCAATAAAGCTAACCTCACTACACCATTTTAGGTCTACAACAACACTAATTATGCATTACTTTTGTAAGTGTTGCCTAAAGTAGTTATGGGAACGCTTTTAAAGCGTAACCAAAGTATTTAACTTTTAGCTACAATAATATTGACAACAATTCAAAAGTATATTCTTTAATTGTATAAGCTACTTTTTATAATTGTTGGTGCAATATGATACAATTGACAACACCTATTTACATATATGGCCACACTTTTAAAGTAAACTATTTTTATAATTGAAAAAATAACATATTATAAGTGTGACCTTAAAATTTTCACTAAAATAGTACATTCCCCCCCAATATTTTTAATTCTCCCTCTCATTTCATTGGCCCAAAAAATAATTCATAAAACATTAATAAAACTTATTTGTCCCAAAAGAAGAAAAAGACGCTTCTCTCTGTCTCCGTTGAACAGATGAAGGCATATTTTTTTCTGATGAACTAATAGAAGAGTTGAAGCTAAAGTCTGAAAAACTTATCGAAGAGCTGTAGGTAAGTCTCTCCTTCACATATGAACTGAAGCTAAGCCTCTCATTCATGCTTTTCTCTCATATTTCTCAATGAAAAACTTGATTTCTCACGTATTTCTCATTGAAGAGCTGGGAGCTTCTCGATTAACAACATGATTGCTATCATACTTCTCGCTGAAGAACACAATTTTTGTTTGTATATGTTTTATCAGGTAAGAAATTTTATCTTTGAAAGTATAAATTTTAGCTTTAAGGTTTTGAGATTGTTGTGTTTTAATATGATTTTTGGGAGTCTAGCTCATATATTAGTTTCATCAGTTAATTTATGGGAATCTAGCTCGTATTTAGCTTTATCAGTTGATTGTTTGCCCTTTTTGTTCTACATGTAAAAGTTAAATGATATTGTTCCAACTTGCCTGCTTTATATCTGATTCAACTTGCCTGCATTAGATCTGAATTAAATTTTAGCCTTAAAATCTTATTCAAGTTGCCTACTTTACACTGTGTTGCCAGTCTTCCCTAATTTTAGAACTTGGAAATTAAATTGAATAATTGTAGGGTTTTGTTAGTCGAATGATAGCAATTTTACTCTAAAAATTAATAATTTTTGAAAGCGAGGCAGAATCATCGTGCAAACCACTGTCTTGTTTAAGATTCTTGTCTGCAGGTTGTAGAGTAAATTTCACATTGGCTTGAATTGATATTATGTTGAGTAGATATGTTTGCATAATGTAGAGGTAATTGATATCTGATTATATTCGTGTATATATCATTCTATGGAAAATGGATCGAATAGCTAAGATAGTCCATCCACATATCGTTGTTTATTCTCAGCTACCTAAGTTAAGGTTGTGGCTTTGTCTCTGCGAGTTGATTTCCTTCATGGCTGTAATCTTGGGGACTTTTGTGGGGAAGAGATACAAACTTATCTAAGGTGGAACTTATAAATTATTTGGTTTTGGTGAAGTGGAAAGCTTGTAGCCCTTAACGATTAGGGTGAGAGATAGCAAATGTTGTAAATTTAACATATAGTGCAACAAAAGTTATTGATCTGAACTTTGTTCTTCTTTAGACAATATAATTGACATGTGTTATGCTTTATCAGTGAAGGTAGTCAATGTATTATTTGTAAATTTATAGCAGATAAGGCAAATAAGTTATTGCACTGAACTTTGTTCTTTGTTAAACGATATATTATATTGTCATATGTTATGCTTTATCACTGAAGGTAATCCATGCATGATTCTTAAGGCTTGTCCTTTAAAAGGGTATTGATTATACTAGTATTGAATATTCCGAAAGCTGTAGGTATTCTCTGATTTTTCAAAAAAAAAAGTTTAAGAATGATTTGAAAGTACTTCTTTGTTTTTTCACTATATGTTGAGATACAAAAATTCCATCTTGAAATCGAAGCTCTTTTAGATCCATTCAGGATTTTCTCTATTTTTCACCGACATAACGATATCCCTTATGATTTTGTCGTTGTTCACCATGTACAGAACAATGAAGATGATATGCTAAATCTTTCTCGCATCAAAAGTAATTTGTTTAATTTAGTACTTAAAATTTTTTAAAATTTTGGTCATCATCTGTTGATCTACTAAGAGAACTAATGGAGGATGATCACACCTTAATTGAAGAATATTGAAGATTCTTATACTTGCATCATTTAAAAGTTGCCTTTTTTTCTAAATCTTTTCACAGCACGGTGAAATGACTGATGAAAGTCTTCAACTTAAGACCTTGCAGACAATCCTCATTATATCTCAATCTCGTTTATAAAATGATACTGAGGCAATTGTTTAATTCTTGCCTATCTTTATTATGATAGTAATTTGTTGGCAGTTTCATGCATTTCTGAATCTGTGCTATAGGATATTGAACAACTAAGTGATTACCTGAATCTATCGAAACAGAAAAGCGCAAAACTTCTTATTCATGTATGCTTAATCTAGTTTTGTTTGTTCTTTGAAAAGAAAAACTGGATTTGTGTGAGAGACTTTTGAGGGCCTGTGATGGACAACAATATCCTTTATCGTCACCTTCATGTTGCATCTAATTTGTGAATGTGGACTCTATGTATAATATGTTTAATTTTTTGTCCTATGTGAGTGGCAATATTATAAAGCACATAACTTTGTTCTAAAACCTTTATGTGAGTATGGATTGTTGCTCATAACATATGTTCATAGTTAATGAATTCAAAATATTTGTTTGATTGTTAAACCTGATATGTAGATGTTTGTATAGCATAAATAACATACAGATGTATACTAAATATGATGGTCTTTACTATAATAAAGCTAATATGAGAGTTGATCACTGGCTACTACAGTTGTTCTTATAGCATATGCATTCATACTCTTTACTGCTGCTAATAATGTATGGGGAAGTTTCAGGTAAGGGTGTTAGTTCAAAAATTTACATTATGCTAGGATCATATCTTTTAACCGTCTCGTAAGCTTCAGAGGGACTCTGTTTGTAGTCCAAACTAGCTCAATGTTCCCAAACTTCAAGTCCGCATTTCCATTTGTATCTCATCTTGGCTGGAAATGATTCAATTAATGGCCTATGATAGAATGATAATTGTCAGGTGGTGGCAATTTACAGTGCAATTGGAAATCAAAGTGCTTACTGTTAAATATCACACAAGAAATAGAACTATGTACTACAAAAGATTATTACCTAATAGTAGGGTCGAGGAAGGTAGAGAGAAATGTATAGTATCCCAGCATGATAGAATGTCCAAACCATTCAAAAAGCACAGGAATTCAAACCTAAAAAATCATCTAGTGTTTATTAGTTTTCCTCAATTATACGCAACACAACATTAACACATCTAGAAATGGTAGAATTGTGAAATTTCAAGAATGAAGTTATTCGTACTGATCTTTTGGATGACAGAATTCTAGATCTTTCAAAACTGTGAGGTTCAGAGGTTATGATACTCCAAGGAAGTAAATAGATGGAAGTTCACTGATGGTTAAGTTTAATAGGGTTTTTCGGTGAAATGTAGCAGTACATCTCAGGATCCTAAAAATAGAGACATTAAATATTGTCTTGTCTTTTTAACTCCAATGCATAAGATGATGATTGTTGCATTAGACTTAAAAGCTAGAACTCATAGTCAAGCCATTACAAGTTTTCTTTTGAGGCTACTCTTTAAATTGTATTCCGTAAGCACTGTGGACTAAATTTTCCCTTTAAAATTAGTTGGATGAATCTTTCTTTTGAACAGTTTATAGAGCGTGCTTAAAAAAGCATCTATGTAGATGGCCCCCAAAACTCACATTTTTTAGCATATGATATTTACAATAGAAGAGAAGGAGCAATTCCTTGATCCTTCGTGTGGGGTGCAAAATTAAGTGATAAAAAAAGGCAGCCATATATTTACAAGTTTGAATATTGATGGAATAATCTGAGGACTCGTTAACTTTTCTGTAACTTTCAGAAATATGCTGCTCAATCTCTTGGTATCATTCTTCGCCTTCTTGAACACAGTAGATCCTCTAGTACTGAGAAAATGTGAGTTTAAAGGGTGAAAGTTCAATCCAATAGGTCGGTTGTTCCTTTCCAATGTGCTGGTTCATTTGGGTGCTCATAATTTGAAAAAAAATTCAGTAATGTTGCTGCAAATTTTAGGAAAATGTTGCAGACAAAAAATGATCTATATTGTGGATCTTTTGAATCAACCCATCCTATTCTCCTATATTCTTTGTACATTATGCTTGTTTCCGTGATTATACCACTTCTTTGTAAACTATAGTTATTTTTAAGACCTGCTCATGGTAAACAAAGGGGACCCATTCAACCAAAACTATTAGTGAAGTTAGTAGGACTGGTAGAATACCGTGGAATCAGATGGGCATAAGGCGAGCGAGGCATGGAACACTTTGTGGTCCTCAGGTTACAATATCTTTCCTTTTTCCTATTCACACTGTCTTGAATTTATTACGTTTTAGTATTATTTGATATATATAAGAAAAATTATAAAATATGTTATTGTAATCAATGTAGTTTAGAGGTGGTGCCACTATGTACGGTCCAAAACCACAAAGTCACGTAATCAAACTAAACAAAAAGGTTTAGTTTCTAGGATTGAAGATTGCACTATCAGCTCGTACAACTGAAGGAAAGGCAGGCAACATCCACTCCATCCATACATTTTTTTTGTTTGGGAACTTCCCTCCTAAAAAAAACCTAGAACTAAAAGAAAGCAAAAAGGAAAATGGAAACTCAAAGAGTATTGGTAAGTTGTTGAGATGTTTGCATTGTTTGGTTTCAAACACATCCTTTTTAGCTTTGTGTTTTGAAATCAAACAACAATCTGAGATCAAGCTATCCAAAAAGTAAAAACAAAGGCCAAAACTAGGAACTCTCATTATTTTGGTTCATCAAATGACCTGCATTTTAGTTGTTTATTAATAAATAACATTGCATTTGATTTCTTCTCTGTTATAAGATAGTGGTATCTATCTACTGCCACCATTAAAGAATTGTTTTCCTATTCTTAGTCTCTTGAGTTCGTAGTTGTTCTCACCTTAATCTTGGTTTATTTATTTGTTAATCATCATATGGTACTGTTTCATTTGTTGGGGTGAGATATTGCCAGTATCAGTTACATTGATTTATTAAGCCTTAAATGAGTTTGTATTATCTATTTTGGGTTGTGATTTGCATAATTGTTTGTTCTCTAGTTACTAATGAATCTGCCTTTTTCGTTACTGTTGTGAGCTCTGTGAGCTTTATTTTTATTATTTTTGATAGAATGAAATATGAAATGAAATTTTGCATTTTAATGTGGATCAGTAACCTATGTTTTCTTGAGGCGGCACTGCCTTCAACATGGATTAGCCTTGCAAGTGATTTAGTACCCAATATTCCATTTACTTAATGTTATACGCGTTGAGTGCATTAAACAACTTAGTTTTGGTTTTTGTTACTTATTGTCTTTTTTTCAATTTGAATCTTTTTTTACTATCTAAAATCTTTCAAAGTTCAATCAGTACTTTATTTTTGTCAAGTATTGTCTCCTTTCAACTTCAACATATATCTAGAAAAATTTATATATGATTGGTGTATTGTGTTGAAGGAGGACTCTAGTGATTTTGTGTTGTAGTTGTGTACTTTTTCCCCCCTGTTGTTTACTGTTTTGAACTTTCATCATTGTTGTGAGAGATGGTTTTGTTTTTAATTGCTTAAACTAATTCTCTTAGTTAAAGTTTTCCCTTTTAAATTTCTTGGAAGGTTAAAGACTTTATTGTATTTTTGTGAGTGAGTTTGTTGTCACTTGTACTAGTTAAGTAGCTTTTTTTGGTGTTCCAATAAAGCTATTAAGATTTTTGACGCTTGTGCTTTGTTTTGTTTCTATAATCGAGCACAGCTTCCTTCCAAGGATATTTTGCCCTTATGTACTGTAGTCATATATATATATATATATATATATATATATATATATATATATATATATATATGTATGTATGTATGTATATTGTTTTGTATTGGTTGGCTTACAGTGAATTTAGGTAAATGGAATACATTATTTATATCACTAACTTATAATTTTATTTTGAATATACAGGAAAATGCTGATAAATGAATTTGAATTATGGATAGAAGTAAACTGGATCTATTATAGTAAACGATGAAGAGTATTTGTATAAACATATTGTACATGTTTGAATGCATTTGATTTTGTGGAATTAATTTATAGTACTAAACGATGAAAATTGATTTTTGTGAAATATATTTAGTTTTGTACTATTGTTGTGAACGATGAACTATTTTTGTACAAGACATGTTTCACGAAGTTTATTTGAAATATATAGCTTCGATTTAATTATTAGTTAATTTTTTTTCTTTAGGTAAATTATTTACTTAATTATGTGATTATTGAATATATGCAAATAAAAAATATTATTTTAAAATGAAAATTTTGGGTTCAAAATTCTACACAACATTGCCACACTTCAAAAGTGTTATTGTTGTACGTCTAAGAAAAGTTACACGTTATAAGTGTTGTTTTAGATAAGATATAAAAGGCAACACTTTTTAAGTGTGACTAATAACAAAGCAAAGGCAACACTTTTAAGTGTAGTATAATAAAAAAAGGTGTTGCTAGTGAATCACTACAAAGAGTGCCTGTATACCTCTTTGGCCACGCTTTATAAGTGTAGTTGTGATGACAACATTTAAAAAGTGTTGCCTAATGTCAAAGGTTATGCTTCTTTAGGCCACCCCTTAAAAAGTGTTGCTTAAAGTCCAAAAGTGTAGCCTTTTATCAAAGGTCACACTTTTTGCTAGTATAGGCTACACTTTACTGGTGTGGTCGTAAGCCTAAAATGGTGTAATGCCTCTACAAGCTACCTGTTTTGGAAAACACAAATTTCTCCGTTTCTTCGAGGACAAGATCTTTTTGTCTATATTAACGGCAGTACCATCTGCGCAAAAAATCATATGGAAAGAAAGGTGTTACCAATCCAGAATATCTTCAATGGATCAAAAAAGATCAATTGATTATGAGTCTCATCATCTCATCTCTCTATGAAGAAACGATTCCAATAATTATTGGACTATCCACATCAAAGGTTGTTTAAAATGCTCTTGTAGCTACTTTCTCGTCTCCATTAAACACTAGAATCCTCAACCTTCATATGCAACTTCGAAACTTAAAATAAGATAATTTGAGTGTCCTCGATATCTTCACTAAGACAAACTCCTTATTGATGAATTAGTTGCTGATGGACGTCCAATTTATCTCCCCGATTAGAATATTTGTATGTTTAAAGGTCTCTAGTGTAAATTCAAAGACATCATAACCACTCTTTAGCTTCATCAAGAACCTGTTACTTTTGGTGAATTGCACATTCTTCTATTGAGCCATGAATTTATTCATGGTCAAGCCTTATCATCACTCTCAGTGTCACCCTCGCCTATGTCAGACTCGGCTAGAAATTCCTCTGCAAATTTAAGCCAGCAGTCCTCTTAAAACGATCATCAATACAACCATATTAATCAAAGATAACGAGGTTGTAACAATAAGGGCCGAGGCAATAATCGTGAGGGAAGACAAGTATATCGAGGAGGCTCATCTACTGAAAATTCATGGAGTCACTTAATTCTCACTCGCGATGTCAAATATGTAATGGTGTAAACCATCTCGCACCAAACTGTTTCCAGCGATACAATCAAATAATCAACCCAACCGCCTCCGTATATTTGACTCAACAGTCACCGCCTATAGCTCATCAGAATTGGTATCCGGACAGCAGCGCAACACATCACATCAACCCCGATCTTTCTAGTTTGCATCATGTTGAGGATTATAAAGGAACAGATCAAGTTCACATTGAAAACATACAAGGGATTCCCAATTATCACACTGGTAATTCCCTATTCTCATCCTTCTAAATCACTTGCGCTCAATAATATTGTTCATGTCCCTTCAATAAAAAAAAACTACTACTCTCTATCCAAAGATTTGCCCGAGATAATGACTTGTTTTTTGAATTTCATCTATCTCATTTTCTTGTTAAGGATCAAGCATCAAGGACTCCTCTTCTTTCAGGTCGGAGTGATGATGGACTTTACTCACTCAATCTCCAACCATCCTACTCAAAATCATCCTCCAAGTCACCATCAACTTTCCTGTTAGCCAAGACATCATCTGTGTATTAGCATCTTCACCTAGGTCATCCTCACAAATGAGTGCTCCTTCAAGTCTTACCGAAGCATATTTTACCTTGTTCTAGTTTCAATTTTAATCATATATATAGTGCTTGTCAACTAGGCAAGTCACAAAAGTTAAATCTTCCAATTTCAATTAATAAAAGTTCATCTATTTTACAACTCTTATTTGTCGATGTTTGGGGTCCTGCCCCTCATTTATCTTCTAAAGGTCAGGAATATTTTCTTGTATTTGTTGATTATTTTTTTAACTTAATCTGGGTATTTCCAATGAAATTGAAATTGGAAGTTGCTTCATTTTCCTACAATTCAAGTTGCTTGTGAAAAATCAATAACACTAAGATTATGTTAATCCTATCAGATTGAGGTGGTGAATTTCGTTCTCCATCTCCCGTCCTCTCTCAATTTGGTATCTCTCACGTAGTTTCTTGTCCTAAAAAACATGAACAATAAGGCAAAGTTGAACGCAAACATTGTCAAATAGTTGAAACAGGCTTAAACCTCTTAGCTCACAGTTTTTATCCTTCCCATGATTGGCAATTCACGTTTGATATAGTTGTATATCTAATAAATCATCTCCCTTCCCCCTCGAACAACAACAAATTTCCATTTGAACTGGCATTCCATAGATCTCCTAACTATACTCTTGTAAAAGCCTTTGGGTGCCTCTACTTTCCTTACATTAGCCCCAATAATAAAAATAAGTTTGACTTTCATAGTATGTCATGTGTTTTTCTTGGGTACAACTCAAAACACTATGGCTATCACTGCCTTGATAGAGCCTCTGGCCGCCTGTATATAGCTCAACATGTTGTCTTTATGAAATTACATACCCATTTGCTTCAATGTCAATCCTAGGTCGTCATCCATCAACTCTATCCAACTCAATACCTTTGGCATCCTCTTCGATCTACTAACCAAATAATGTATCTACTACCACTCTAAATTCACCGTTTCTTGCGTCCAATATTCTAGCCACTACCTGCTTTAAATCTTCTCATCCATTTCTTCAAGTCTCCCAACCAGATCTCCATCTGATACGTTGAGTTCTTCCTCATCACTGCCAACAATTCCTCTAATTTTTTATCCCACTGGCTACCCATTGTTACTCTAGACTGCTCCTCCCGCTCTACAAACTCCCTCGTAACCTATGGAACCACCTCAATGCACTCATTATATGTGATTTCGTCATATATCTCCGTCATCTAATTTATCTACTTTCACAATTTCCAACTCATCGTCTTCCTTTCCTGTTGAACGTACTAGCTTTACTAAGGCAAATAAACACAAGGTTTGGCGGGATGCTATGTCATATGAGATGAATTTCATGTTACGCAATCGTACTTGGACCCTTGGACCTTATAATTCATCCATGAATATGTTAGGTAGCTAGTGGGTTTTCGGATTAAGAAATTCTTTAGGCAACATTGAGTGCCACAAAGACCGTTTAGTTGCCAAAGGATTTCATCAGATGGAGGGTAGTGACTATTTTGAAACATTTAGCCTAGATGTCAAACTTGCCACTATTCGAGTAGTTCTTACCATTGTTGCTTCTCAAGGATGGAACTACGCAATTAGATGTCCATAATGCCTTTTTACATGGTCACCTCCAAGAAAGAGTGTTCATGGCTCAACCTGCTGGCTTTGTTCATCCATCATTTCCCAACCATGTTTGCTAACTAAATAAATCACTTTATGGTCTTAAACAAGCGCCACGAGCATGGTATATGCGCCTTCACCAAATTCTCATGGTTGTTAGGTTTTATCCTTCTAAAACTGATATGTCTTTATTTGTGTATCGAGATCATGGAATCATGCTATACCTACTTGTTTATGTCGATTATATTATAGTTACTAGCAATCATCCCTCCTCTCTCGAATCTATTATTTCAAAGTTAGGGGATGAATTTTCTATTCATGATTTGGGATGCTTGAGCTTCTTTCTAGGTGTTGAACTGACACACACAACAAGCTTTGTCTTTATCAACCTAGACACATTGCATACTTGTTATAGGGCCTCAATGCAAAATTGCAAACCTATGTGTACACATAAGGCACCGAACACTAAGTTCCATGTGGGTGATAGCTCTCTGTTTGATGATCGTACATTGTCTCGTATTATTATTGAGGATTTAAAGTATGTAAAATTGACCTGTCATGATCTCAAATTTTCCATGTAAAAGGGTTGCCAATTTATGCACTCTCCGAGTCAAAATCAATGGCTTGCGGTTAAATGCATTATTCGGTATCTTAAACTCACAACGAACTTAAACTCACAATGAACCATCAATTCCTAATTCCTCAATATCCTAACTGGGTTCTACAGGCTTTCACTGATTCGGATTGGACACGCTCATTGGCTGATCAAAAGTCTACAGGTGGTTATGATATTTTTCTTTGAAATGAACTCATCTCTTGGTCATATAAGAAGCAACGTATTGTTTCTCGATCGTCCACAGAATCTGAATATAAAGCACTTATCGATGTAGTCCCTAAACTCACTTGGGTACAATCATTATTATTTGAACTTAGCATACCTGTCCACTCTTCTCCAGTGCTTTGGTGTGATAATCTTGGTGATGCCTATTTATCCATTAATTGTATTTTTCATGCTTGCACCAATCATGTGGAAATTGATTATCACTTCGACCGCGACAAAGTTACTCACAAGGATATCTCTGTGCAGTTTCTTTCAACCAAAGATCAACTTGCCTATGTTCTCACCAAACCTACTTCCACAGCCACATTTGAATTTCTCTGCTCCAAGTAGAATGTCGCTCCTCTACCTTCAGCTTGCAAGGGGAGTATTGTAACATGTAGCTCGTCTCCTGCTTTGACTCCAATGTCTAATCTACCTAGTAATCCTAAGGACAAGGGATAACTTATTTAGTGTAGTTAGTTCTTCTAGTTAGATACAATTTTTATTACTATGTGTGTGTGTGTGTGTGTGTATATATATATATATTACAACTTTGATGTCTTGAGTTAATGGAAGATTATGATGTGGATATTTTATATCATCCAGGAAAGGCAAATGTGGTAGCCGATGCCCTCAGTTGAAGATCTATGGGTAGTTTATCCTATTTAGGTGTTGAGAAGCGTGAGCTAGAAAATAGCTTCATTTGTTAGCTGTATTGAGAGTCCGATTGTTAGAGGCAG